AAAGAAGTAGAGGAAATGACAATAGTAAGGATCAGGAAAGAAAAAGCAGCAGTTCCCTGTTGTAGATCAGGCACAGTTATGAGCATGACATGAGTCAGCCAATTTACAATTCTACTGTGCTTGAACGTGAAATGTCCCCCCTTTGGGAATGGCCTAAAGACACAACAGTCAGTGGCACTGCCCCGGGGGTTCACAAAATATAAATTACAAAGGTACTCAACACACTAGTATACATGTACTGGTACCAACAATACAAAATGACTAGTTTGTGCTTTCAAGTTCATCAAAAGCATACAGGTTCTCAACACACTGGATTTTCACAATACAAAACGAGCAATTTGTTTCAAGTTCACCAATCATCAAATGATGAACTTGTGTTTCAAGTTCACCAATTAACAAATAATCAGCAGAGAGGAACCCAACATTATGTGTGTTCCCAGTTCTTAAACTACAGGTTATCAACACATTGGTCCGGGAGGAATCCAACAGTACAAAACAAGCAACTCCACTCTGTCCCGCACGGCTCTCACTCCCACTCTCCGGGCCGAGATCCTAGTTTAGCCACACCTTCTTCCACACACATTGTCCTTTTGTACTATTGGATTCCTCACTCCCACTCTCCAGGCGGAGATCCTAGTTTAGCTACACCTTCTTCCACACACATTGTCCTTTTGTACTATTGGATTCCTCACTCCCACTCTCCAGGCGGAGATCCTAGTTTTGGATTCCTCACTCCCACTCTCCGGGCAGAGATCCTAGTTTAGCTACACCTTCTTCCACACACATTGTCCTTGCGATCAGAAAAACGACACCGGCATTACAGTTTTCAGAAGAGAAGTGACCTCTTTCAGAGTTTCAAAGACACATTACGAAAGTAGCCAAAGAAAGAGAGACCTATGGAAGCTTTATTTTCAACCTCGAAGAACTAAAAAGCCCAAATAATTTACTGAAGTGAAGAAATAAAACAATACAGGTAATGTAAATATCACAAAGTAAAGAAATATTTCACAAAAACTTTGTTGTGACTTGTAGCTTTTGTCCCAAGCCACTGAGAGTATTCTATTTTTAGCCAGTGCCAGTCGCATGAAGGTAGCGGTACTTGTGTCTCTGTCTTTGTGCCAGTCGCGTGAAGGAAGCGGTACTTGTGTCTCTGTCTTTGTGACTGATGGGTGTAGAGGAAGCTGTTATATATGTCTCTGTCTTAGTGACTGATGGGTGTAGAGGAAGCTGTTATATGTCTCTGTCTTAGTGACTCATGGGTGTGGAGGAAGCTGTTATATATATATATATATGTCTCTGTCTTAGTGACTGATGGGTGTAGAGGAAGCTGTTATATATATATATGTCTCTGTCTTAATGAAGCTGTTATATGTCCTTTGTTAACAACTATTTCAACGAATGTCTGCCCACCGCCGTCAATCTTTTAAGTCGGGGCGATACTCTCGGGGCCTGTTTCGGTGAACGCCTTGGTGGGAGTTTTGGAGTCTGTTTTGGAGAGAGTCTTGGCGTCTGTTTTGGCGCATGTGCAGGCAAGTGTCTTGACATCTTTGTCGGCGAGAGCTTTGGTATCTGTTTTGATGAGAACTTTGTTGCTTTTTTAGGCGAGAGTCTTGGTGAGTGTCTTAGCGTCTGTGTCGGCGAAAGTTTTGACACCTGTTTTGTGGAGAGTTTTGACACCTGTTTTGTGGAGCGTTTTGGCATCTGTTTCGGCGAGAGCCTTGGATTCTGTTTTGGTGACAATCTTAATGTCAGTTTTTGTGCGAGTCTCGGTGAGAGTCGTGGTGAACTTCTTGCCTGCACAGTCTTATTTGGAAGCATTGTACGATTCAGTTCCTCCGTCCTCCCCTTTTGCTCTTCACACAATTTTTTCTCCTTGCATGAAATTGTCAACAGCATCAAATTTCTATGGCAACGCAAATCTTTATCATCTACTTTGAAATAAACTTTCTCACCTAACAGCCAGTGCTGACTTGAAGGACGAATTAAAAAATGATCAGTCTGCACAACATCTAACGTTTTCTCCCGCTCTAAGCAGTACATCACGGCCCGTATGACATCCTCAACTTCACAGTGGGCCGTCTCTTGAGAAATATGGGGCGCTGCACCGTCGACCGCCGTCTCATAGTGAAGTTTGATTTTGAAAACACAGTTCTCGTTTGACATCAGGAAAGTGTGATCCTTCAACAAGGGTAGCAGTTCAGAACTCATGTTGTGTGATCCTCAATGGACTTGAGGGGAGAGAGTCCAGCAGAACAAGTAGAAACAGTAGTAGACCATGGACTGGGGAAAAACAAAATAAATATTTACACATTACAAGTGCATTGTAGAGATCTCTAGATGCAAAAAAATGAAGTAGCCTACTTGCCTCCTATGTCTTTCAACGGAATTCAGTTTGGCATTCCAGATTCACATTTGTCCAACTGGCCACAGCAAATTTTTTCAACTGATATCTCAGTCTGAACTGCATGTTTCATTCTCTGTTGGCAAGGCACAGTCAAACCCAGTAACACTGCAGCCTACCATCATAACCATGGGGTGAGCAGGAAGTTGGCGGTACAGCGGGGCTGGTGATACAAGGTCCTCATGTCCTCTGTCAAATACATGTAGCACAGACTGCCCAACCACAAGGGAACTTGTTTACCAATCACAAATGGGCGGCTTGCACACGAGTGACTGTGTAGTGTGCGTGAGTCGGAGAGGGGGGGGGGGGTGGCACCAGCGGTCCGGAGGTGGAACGTCGCAGAGATACATTAAAGAGGTTGAGCCAAAAACTAAAACTTTGATAAAAATGTCCAAACCAGAGGAAAAAAAGGCCTGTTTCTCAGATTTCCGTATTTTGACAAGTGTCTGATTTCACCACGCTGCCTCACACAGATCTAGATATTCATGTGCATGATGATATAATATCAGAATTATACATTAAAATTGTACAAAATTACAGCCTATACAATCTACTTTAATTCTACACACAAAGTTTTAGTAAAGCAGTGTACCATGTAAAACAATTTGAGTGAAAAAGTTGTTCAGTGTTAATTTTTAATTTCATCAGTGATAAAATAAACTTGCAAATTACTCTAATAACTAAAAAATAAATTTTAACTTGAGCAAATCCTTGCCTCAGAAACCAAGTGCAGTCATACTAAACCGCCAAAAGACACGAAAAGACGTGAAGACACGGTGAAAGGACGCGAAAAGGCACGAAAAGATTGTTCCCATTCCTAATTGAGAGGGTGTAGTGCGCTCTTATGACCTTATGATGCAGTTGCTAGTGCCATACAACACTTACCCAAAAAAAAAAAAAAAAAATTCATCATGTGGAGAGAGTTGCATGGCAAAAATCCACAAGACGCGTTAAACAAGGTTATTTTCCATTTGTCACAGTGGTACTCAGTGATAAAGCAAAGAAAGTCCTATCAGAGTAATTATAGAATTAATAATATTTTACTAATAATAATTGTAAGGCGAGAAAAAAGAAAATGAAAAATCAAAAGGACCCTGCTGACATCAAGGCGCCAATAAATTTATGCCAATCTGCCATTCATCAGGCAGAGAAATCGGCGCTTTTTCGGTAGTTCCCACCCCCCTTTATTTGAGCCTGATCCTACATCTAGATCTAGATCTATACATTTGATTCGCGGCGAGCTAAGATATCAAACCTAACAACTGCAAAACATTAAATGTGAGGCAGCGTGGTGGAATCAGGCTCTCGTCAAAATAACAAAAGTGAAAAAACTTGCATTTTTCCGCAGGTTTGTGAATTTTTATCAAATTTTTGTGCTCAACACCTTTCATACCCATTAAAAAACTCATTTGTGTGAGGATTTTTCTGAAAAACGTTGATTAAAGGTACAGAAAATGTAAATTTTTAGTTACCACGGACTCTTTAGCTAGGGAAATAACTAATCTTTGGTGGCCATTTTCCCACTAATTTTACCTCTGAAAATAGGTGAACCCCATCTCCTTCTTTCGCAAATATCTCGATTTGTATTCAAGATAAATGGATATTGTTTTCATCCGTATAAAGACAAGTAAACAAGCTTTAAGATGATACCAACTCTACATGCCCAAAAATTGACGAGAGCCTGATTCCATCACGCTGCCTCACAAATTGTGGTAAAACCCCCCACCTTATTTTTATTAGGTCAGGGGCCCCTGAAACTCCCCTACTCTTGGGGCCAAAACCCGCGAATAACAATTGCGGGGTGGGAACTACCGAAAAAGCGCCGAGAAGTCTCAGGTGTTCATCATGGCGGAATTTATCATAAAATCAAACTTGCAGAGGCCGTAGAGGGTAAAGATTACCCCAGTTATGATCAAAATAACCCTGAAAATGAGTCTGAAGTCTGAAGGGACACAAAATCACAAATCAGATGTCTTTTCGTGTCTCTTTCGTGTCTCTTCGTATAGTTTTAGTGTGTGACCCTCCAGCCTTCCGTGAGCCCACTTGGACTTTCAGTAGATCTAGATCATTTGACTTATAACATGTCCCAAAAATTACTGAGGTTAACTGTGTGATTCTCGGGAAATTAGTAGAGTACGGTAGGCTACCTATTTGACATTGAAGAAAACAAGGACAGGCCGAGGCGTGAGCCACGGACTTTTGAAGACCGCGTGAGTAGCGGCAAAGAGTCTACATAACAAGAGGGTCCACTCCTCTCTTTGAGCCAAATAGAAAAGTGTCCTAAAAAATCGGAGGCGCCCTCTGCGCACCCTTTGCAAACAGAGTTACCCTACTTGTGTTAAAAAAATCTTGTCAAAGTGAAACTCACAAGTTTTTCAATAAATAAGAATTCAAATTTCGCAAGAACGCTTTTTTAATGGTTGCGCTGACGCAAGGCCTCTTCAGGAGGAAGGGGTGACTGTTTTCTTCGTTTAATTTGACTTTAGAATGAAAGGCGAGAGGTTGTTAAAATTTTTAAAAAAGAAAAAAATGCGCACTGAACGAACCCGAACTGCTGATGAACAGCAGTCGATCTTTGCAAGCAAGGAGGTGCTATTCCTATTCTTCTTCAGGAGAAACGAAAGAGAGCTTCAAAACAGACTGCAGCGCCATCTGAAGCAAAGAGCGGACTTCCGGTGGACACATTTTTGGTTGAGTGGACCATCTTGTTATTACTATCTTTGGTAGCGGTCGAGGCGCAGAGCAGAGAGTTGCGACCAGTCAGTACAAGTTGGATCGCTACATGAGGTGGGTGTGCATAGAGTTATCACATGCGTGTATAGTTAAACTACAATTACGATGAACTAATACTAGGCTTAGATTAGGTGCTTTTTCGGTAGTTCCCACCCCCCTTATTTGAGCCTGACCTACATCTAGATCTAGATCTAGAATCTCTATATCTAGATCTATACGCTTGATTCGCGGTGAGCTAAGATATCAAACCTAACAACTGCAAAACATTAAATTATGGCAAGCCCCCCCTGAAACCCCCCTACTCTTGTGGCCCAAACCCGTGAATAAAATTGCGGGGTGGGAACTACTGAAAAAGCGCCCTAGATTACACCTACCTGATCTGATGAGAAGTTACTGATTTTTGTTTTCTACTTTTTATCTTTAACAAAATCTACTTTTAAAACGGGTTGTTTGTTTGGGTGAGATTTGCCAGAAAATTTTAACCGAGAGCTGTCAAAATTGCAGCCGCCAGCTGATAGACCTAATGCGGAATTGATAAAATATTTGACTTATTAATTATGTTCTAGAGTTGTTTGAACTTGATATTGAATAACCCGTCTATGGGCAACGCAGGTGTGAGAGTTTTCTTGTGGTATGGCTTGCTTGTTATGAAAACAGAACACCAAATTTCGAGACCGTTACAATCATTCATGGTGTTTCTGTTCTCTGGTAGGCCTAGTATTTAACTAGATCTATCTACAACTTTCCTCAACAACAAACGGCTAGAATAATTTTTCCAACTTTTATTTTAATAACATTTTTACACGCTTTTTCAAGTGGGTCAGGCAAATTTTACGGTAACTTAATCTGACAAGAAAAGTCTAAAAGTAGAGCAAAAAATAATATTGATTTGTTGTTGTTGTTTATTTTATATCTCCGGTTACGGTTTAAAGGGTTGTGTCAAGAAATCTTCAGCCTTTTCTTGGTTATCAAATCAACTTCATTAGATGAGAAATTACTCTCACTCTTTAGAAATATAGATCTAATGTAACTAAATCAGGAAGAATCCAACATTATTTAATTTGTAAACAGAAGCTATACTGTACGTTAAAACGAATATGGGAGATTCAACGCCAATACGGCAATCTCAACAATTGAAATGAAACTGCAGGGACTGCAATAAAGCAGGTTTAAAACACATTTCAAAGAAAAAATGTGTAGTATCGATACTACTTCAGTATATTCACAATCTGCTTATCATATAGAAAGTGGCTATTCTCACCCGCCCGGAAGTTCTCGCAAGATCAACTCCTCCCCTCTTCTCTCTCTCTCTCTGTCTCTTTCTGAATACTGTCTATACTATCGGTGTGGACGATGAAATTGACCAAAACAAAGTTAAAAAATGATGTTAAAACACAAAAGTAAATAAATTTGGTTGTCTACAAAGATGCTACGGCTATTTAACTTTTCGAATCGA